ACCTCTCGCGAAGCACCAGACTACAGCCTAGATGACCCTCAAAGGCTTTCTGGAGCTTGTTTCTCCCAGCTTTTTACAAGTTTGGTTGCCTGTCTTTCCAGCTTCTGCAAATTGGAAGTGAATGACTGGGAGTGGAGAAAGGTTTTCAGTGAAACATTCTCCGTAATGTGGGGCTGGACAATTCAAAGCTACAGTGCCATGGTAACAGTATTTTCATAATGACGACCTGACTCACTAGGAAGAAGTTAAATAATATTTTTTACTCTTCGTTTAAGGTAGTGGAGAATTGCATAACAATAATAAGATGCTTCAAAAGGGGTGAACATTGGTTATCTGGAAAGATGACGTGTCAATCTATAGATTATCATCCAGTGCTCTCCATTGGTGAGAAGAGACGCAGCAACACCATTAGTTCTATACTATGTTTATGTACACATTATTGCCAGGGTACTGTGGACATCTATTATTCCACTTTTAAAGAGCCACAGTCACCAGCTTTATTTAGGTGGTTTCGATGGTCCTCAAAGAAGCCTATGACATATTAAATAAGAGATGTAAGGAAAGGAAAGGAAAGAGACAAAAACAAAACATAGGAAAAGCAGACATCCCAGTCAAGTCCAGAGCTTGTATAATGGGTGGTTTAAGATATGGTTGGAATTACTTCTGATTCAACTGTTTCGTTCCCTCACCTGTTAAAGTATTGTCTTTAAAATCTTGTAAAATAGCCTGTTTCTTGAATACTGTGCAAATAGTTTCGTAAGAAAGTTCTATTAATTTTTTAAACAATTTCACATTTGCAGTGCTGAGTTGTTATTTTTTGATTGCTTAATTTGCATTAGATTTCTCAAAAGCTATTTAGAAAAAAAATTGCAATAGGAAGGCCTGTCCATTGTATCTTTTCAGAAGAAAGCTGGTTTTCACAATATTCTTCACATTTTGTAAACAGCATCAATGAATCTGCACATAAAAGGTTAAATGTTTGCAGACCACTCTTTTCTGCCTCGAAGATCAGAGACAAATTACTATTTTTATTTTACACTCCCTTGATGAGGATAATGATAAACAGCTGTCACTTCAGTGCTTAGCCTGCAAAGAATCCTGTTGCAATCCTATAATTTAAACAAAGAAAAAATACATAGTCATACACAGTATACATGCAGACGAGAGCACGATAGAGAATTTGGTTAGAAGTGGGCTTAGAGAGAAGGGAGCGTTTGTGCTCTGCAATTTCTCAGTTAAAAGAAAAATTCCGTCTATGTACATTTTTCCCATCCATCTTAGACATATTAGAAGGGGCAATTACTGCCTTATTTCTTTCTAAAATCAGAAAAGAAATTAAATTTACATTCTGAATTCTGTAACACCCCATCATGTCCATGGTATAATCAGAATAGTTAAGATTTGCAATGCGAACACATGTCTATTAGTATTTCCAAAAGCTGAAGAGAATTTCAAATTGTTTTACTGGTTATTCTGGAACACTTCTCTCTTTTTTTTAAATGTTGAGAATTAAACCGTTCGGTGTTCTTCATACACTCTGACACCTTGCTTATTAATTACATCTGGTTTCAAAAGTGAAAGTCAGTATCTTTTGCATAGTCTGATATGCAAAAAGTAAAGCAAGGCTAAATGTTAAGAATAGTGTGAAGTGGGAAAAATCAGTGTTTCTAGGGGCCGGCCCCGTGACGTGGTGGTCGGGTTCAGCGTGCTGCACTTCGGCAGCGGGGGGTTACGGATTCAGATCTGGGCTCGCACCTACGTCACTCGTCAGCCATGCTGAGGTGACCCACATATAAAGTGGAGGAAGATTGGCACGGATGTTAGCTCAGGGCTAATCTTCCTCAAGCAAAAAAAAAAAAAAAAAAAAAGGAGGATTGGCAACAGATGTTAGCTCAGGGTGAATCTTCCTCAGCAAAAAAATCAAATCAGTGTTTCTATATGAAAGCATAGATGGTGATATAATTTTCCTAGTATTTCATATTCCTAGAGTTTCTTTTAATAAATACTATTTATTCTGCTTTTCTCTTTTGGCTCAACCATTAATTTTTTACAAATATCAGTACTTCAATGACATCTTTTTCCTAGAAACCCTTTTTACTTTATTTTATCTGTGAAACTGACTTCATATATTATGGATGTTTCATTGTTTCATAATACCTCTTGATTTTTTTATACCTAAGGAAAAAAAGAAATTGTTTTAATATTGAATTCTTCTTACATTTACTGAACAAATTTCAGCTCTCAGAGCCTCAGCATACTCTTCTGTGGGGTGACAATAACAATGGTACCCACCTCCTAAGGTTGTGGTGTGGATCTTGTAGGTAAGGTACTTAGCACAGTACCTAGAACACAGTAGGTGCTCAGTAAATGTTTCTAGGAGAGGTAGTATGTAGATGCTGAAATGCTATCACCCCCTACTGTTAAATACAATAGCAAAATCCCAGTATATTTCAGATCAGAGAGACAAACTGAATTGTGTTGTATCTATTATGGAGGTTTATGTTGCTTTATACAAAAGATGTTTTCCTCTCAAAGCTGTAGGTCATCCGTTCTCATTTATATACCTAATTTCAAAATCATTTTATCATCTTAACCATTATCAAATAGTAGTGGATTCTAATTCATCACCTTGGAGTTTCTCTGGTCTCCAATTTCTCTAACGAGCAGGCATTCTTGGAGACCCTGAAATGCACTGGGACAGCTTCCTTCATTTAGGTAAACACTCGTGTAGTGTTAACTGCTCCTCCTTCTCCTCATTCTCCAGTGCAACAGGCTCTGTTCTAGGTGCTGAGAAGGGAGAGAGAAACAAGGCCCTGGAGCCTAAGAGGAGGAGAAGCATAAAACTAGGCTGGGTATTAAATAACAAAAGTGAGTACAAGACACAGATGAAGAACAGACGTGGGAGGGATAGAGAGTCGGAGGGCCACTGGAAGCTTGTCTAGAAGAGCTGATGGCGGAAGGGGCTTTGAAAGATGAAAGGTCTTCACAGGTGGGAGGAGAGGCTTCCAGGCAACCGGACCAGCTTGCAGAAAACATGGAGGTGTTTCCATAATGTGTGCTGAGATCAAGCAGCTCTCTCACTCTTATTCGGAAAGAAAAGAAAGAAACTAGCATTTATGGAGTGCCCATGAGGCCCTTGGCTAGGTCATTTCATATATCTTATTCAGCTTCCCTAAGTTTTCCAGGGAAGTGTGTCCCCATTTTAAAGATGGAGAAGCTGAGTCTCAGTTACATCAAGCAACTGAAGTGTGGCCATGCAGCCAGTACATGACAGACCTGAATTTGAACCTAAAGTTTTCGCTTTCAACTACAATACTCTTAAAACATCACAGTAACCACTGATTCTTAGAATTTGGGCTCAGCGTGGAGTACATTCACAGTGGTTTCTAATGCTCTGCAAAGAAGTTCGGGAACAGGTCTGATTTTTTCATTACCGCAGCTGACCGTCCTTCCGTCACCTGACCACTTTATGGTCTTAGCTTTTTTCCTATTTATCCCAGGTCCTACGGTGCTTATATCACAAATTAATAATAAAAATAAAGAACAACACAAGACTTGATTTAATTCTTTCTTTCAGTGACCAAAGACCATTTAAAAGGAAATGGTGTAAGAACAACTGTCATTTTTGGCACTTCCAATCCTCTCCCCTGCTTTAGTAGCAGTAAGATGCCTCAAAAATGTCCTCCAGCTGTCACCCTGAAGCATGGGGTCATACTCTCAGGACTGGAAAATGACTGCTGTCTTTTAGAGTGAGCACATATTTCAACATTTTTTTAACACGTTGGATGTTTCTGAGCAAGAGAAACCTATATAAATGATTAGAAGCAATTTCTATCTTTGTTGTTGATTTTGTGGCCTACAGATATGCCTTTCACACATGCATATTGATTCAGAGGAGAAGCTTGTCATTTACAGATCCATTTAAGCTTGTTAGCTCAGTGCCTTGCCTAGAACTGATTGCATGATTGAGAACCTGGCAGATCAAAGTAGGTACATTTCCAAAGAAAAGTACTTCATGTCCACATTGGAAGCAATAAATTATTTCCTTTTTTTTTTTTTTTGCATTCATAATTAAATCTTTCCAAATGCTAGAAAGTAGCCAGACCACTAACAATATTTGTATCATGTTCTGGGGCTTAGATGGTTCAACCTGACTTGAAATGGAGACCATTTGTTCTAAATTGATTTCAATGCCAAGCCAATAGGTCAGCCCTTAATGATGAAGATGCCATTCCAGCCCAGCCTCTTGTGGATAAGCCAAAATTAATTAACTCAAGTCCCATAGTATAGAAAACAGATGCTTCTCTCATGTTGCACAAATAAATTCTTTGTGTATAGATGTGTTCTGTTTTATTCAAAGAATAACAAGTTGGAAGTTAAAATTGTAGGTTTTTCGCAATGGAGCCAGCCTTTGGTAGTGATGACAGAAGCATGCATTTACATAACAAATTCCAGCAAGTGCATGGAGAAATGAATTATCCTCTAGATCTCTTATTTTGGCTTCAGGCCAGGCCTGGGAGATTTAGTTTTAAGTCTGGGCTGATCCAAATGCTGATCCATTCCAGAACAGACCTAGGAGTTCCGGAACAACAACAAGGTTATTTCTAAGGTCTGGAATCCCTGGAGACACCTCCCAGAGGTTTACATCTGCAGCCTATGTTTGGATTCAGTTCTCTGGCCAGCTTGCAAATGGCTTAAGATTAGATTGTTCTCTGGAGGTATGTTGTTAAGTGCACTGTTTATCTGGATAGTCATCTCAACATTCATTCAGAATTAGAATACTTGCTTTTCCTAGATTGTGGCAGGTGAAAAGTAGAATAATAACCGCATGCTTCTGATCTCTTTTCAGAATTAACGGATGTGCAATGAGATAAAGATTTTACCATCTAGTAGTGTAACGCCAAATACAGTAAATGGAAGTTGGTCATCTGATGATGTATGGTGTTTTTTTTCTTCTGAACGAATGTGAAATAATCCATGTTTTCGTTCCTTTCTGTCAGACTGAAAGTGATGAGAATGGCCAAGCAGAAAACTTTTCGATGGACCCGCAACTGGAGAGGCAAGTGGAGACCATTCGCAACCTCGTAGACTCCTACATGTCTATTATCAACAAATGTATCCGAGATCTAATTCCAAAAACGATAATGCACCTTATGATCAATAATGTAAGTGATTGTAAACTGTCTCATTTTAACTTCTAACCCATCCTAGTGTGGAAATTGCTCCCATTTTCTTGAGTTTCTTTGTGTTATTTTCTGGAGGGCTGAGATACCTATTACCCAGGTTCATCATTTTCCATTACAAGTGGTCAGTGACTGACCAGTGAAAGAAAATTTAGGAGAGAAAACATAAAACTTCGAGCTATGGTAATGTGGTATTCCCTGTTGGCTGTTTCCTTTAGAAGGGTGTGAATTTGCTTACATTAAAGTAAAGCAAAAATACCATAGCTATGGTCAGGGTAGAAATTAGTTGCAAAAACAGCAATAAAACCAGATGCTCTGGCTCCTAGACTTTAAGATTGAAGGCGAAAGATAGTGATTCTCTTCTACACACACATACACACATGCGTGGGAACACACACACATATATGTTATATGTTAATGTGACTTTTCACTTCTAAAACTACAGAATGCTATTTTAGCCTGGGAAAGGACTTTTTGCCCTGTTTCCTTGGATACAAAGTCAGCCAAGTTTCCTTTTCTAAGGCAAGGATGATATAGCCACAAACCTCAAAATGTCCTGCTGGACTAGCCATCGACTGATCTACATCCTATAGAATCTCTTCCTCCTCAAGGTTATTTTTATAGTAGTCAGGCTATGATACTTCAATCACGTGGGAGATTTGGTTCTTTTGGTGGCTACTTTATTAAAGTACAAATTACCACAAGTTATTTGTGAAATTATCTTTTAGATAAGATAGGTTATAATGCGGTGTTTTATAGCAGGCTTTTCTGAGACTTGAAAAGCTTTATTCCTAGTTATCTTCTAAGGACACCTTCTTACTTAAATCAATGATCTATTATGAGCATTTGCTTGGGACAAATAAAGATTACATGGCAAAGTACTGAAAAGAGCCCCACCTAGAAGTCGGGAGGAAGCTGGATGTTAAACCTGGTTCTGCAACAGACTGTTGACCCTAAGGCAAGTCACTTAACTTCTTTGCATCTATTTCCTCCATATGTAGAATGCTAATCATAGAAAAAGTACCTGGCTTAAGGATTTGTTCCAGAAAATAGTATATGTGGAAGGAATATAAAAAATATAATTGTAAGAAACTAATATGGCTACTTATCTAAGAACTCTAAATAGCCTTTATCTGTAACTCAAGATTCCTTTCAAAATTGTATTTCTAAATATGAAAATCCATTTGTTCTTCATGATCTACACCTTCCTTGACTGTAAGAAGCCCCCAGCACTCTGTGAAGAGTCGTGTTTTTAACTAAGTCTATTTTCCTGCACATTTCGTGTATTCAGACAAGGTCAGTAGGATGCTTTGACATAGCAGCAGCAGGTAAGCACAATATTGGAAATTTGGAAACCATGAATTGTATTCTTCTGCTTGGTCAATGGCCTGCTGTGTGACCTGAAGCAAATCATTTGGCCCCTCTGAGCTGAAGTCAGTCACTTCTGAAACGGCAGGAAGAACACTGAGCTGCCTCACAGAAATGTCAGAGAACATAATTAATGGGACTATATGCCATTTTGAAAAATATAAAGTACTAAATAAATAGTCTGTGTATTTTTAAAATTACCCTCTTAACTTTACTTAAATGAGTTCAGGTTGTTTTGCCGTGGTATATCCAGGCACTTGCTTATTTAAACATTCTCCTGATTAAGCATCATTTATCTTTCACTGCTTTACCGAGAGTCATTAGTGCTGCCATCAGTTCAAACGCTGCTCTGCTCTGCACAGCGTTAAATCATCAGCACAGGAAGTCGCGCTTCCTGTCTATAGCTGTGAGGCGTAGCTTGACACAAATTAGTTAAAAGGAAAAAAAAAGACCCTATTGCAAATCTATCCTACTTTCACCTTCTCAAGAAAAACATCCACACATCCACAAAGAAACGCCCGGGGTGAGCGCCCTCAGTCCTCTGGGTGTGCCTGCTTGCTTTCACGGTGACATGGCTGACCCCCCCCACCACACACACACACACACGGTGCTCCCCACGGAGGCGAGGCTCTGCGAGCTGTCTTGAGAGACCGAGTCATGAGGAAGGAGACTTAGTTAGGTCAAAGCTTGAAGCACAGACTTAATAGGAATACGGAGAAAGCAAAAACATCCTGTAAGGCTGGATTCTTATGAAATTACGGTTGCCTTTGTTTGAAATTTAACTGTTCATATCTACCAGAAAATAGTTTTCCATATCTAGGATGATAGCATTTCTTTGCGTATTATGTTATCTTCTTTTTTACTATATATGTAAAAAATACAGTTTTTATATATAACATATATATTTTAAAATTATGTATATAATTATGTATGCATATGTAAAAATAGAAATCTCTTTTTTTAAACATACTCATATTCTCGTGGCATCTTAACGTACAGGGCGTCAGAGCCCTTTCTGTGCTTTCTGAAGCACCCCATCGAGTTCAAGGAACAGAGACACGACTGCACGGCTGTGTCGTGCCTGTGTGCTGATTTTTAGGTGCTTTACAGTGAAGAGATCTTCAAGCGAGGGAATTAATCATCAAATCACAACCAGAAAACGAATACTTTGACTCCTCATTCTAAATTCCATCCACTTAACCCTGCTGCTTTTATCAATGGCTTTGGGTGAAAAAGCTAGTTGTTCCTCCAGAACCGATAAATGCCTCACACGGGGTCCTCAGTTTGTGGACCATCACTGTGGAAAGCCGTGCTGCGGCCTCTCCTCTTTGATATGGGAAAACGGCGACTCTGCCGTCTGAAAAAGAATATGTTTCAGCCAACCTTCATAAAGTTCAGAATTCGGTGGGTAGTTTCCTTTGAAAGTTTACATTAAGTGTTCTGCCACTCAAGCCTCCATATGGAATTGTTTAAGAAGTTTAAAGCCAGCAATAAATGCCTTGCCTCAGACATACTGTAAGCCTTTGTCTATTGAAATGCAGCAGCTGTTTCATTGCTTAAACATACCAGGTAACAGCGGCACAAAGAAATAGCAAGTTTATGACAGGCAGTCGTTCTGGCCGGGCTACAGTCAAAGAGCAGAGTTTTGTCCAGGACTTGAAAGTTAACACACACATGACACCCCATGGCAAGCACATTTTGATGGCTGCTTCTCTGTAGCTCACCCCCCCAGAAGCTCTCCATCAGAGAATCGAGAAAGTGGATCCAGCTTTATTCTAAAAGTGTGCCACTCACTTTGTTCCTCGTATTCAAACAAACCCAGATAATACAAAATAGAATGTAAAGTTTTTATGAAACTTTTTAAGAACCAAATATGAAACCCAGAGGCATTTCACACTTGGCGTGTGGCTGCAGCCTGAACCCCTGGACCCCTGGAGATCCACAGGCACTCTCCTTGCCCATTGGCGCTTTGGTGGAAAATTAGTAACATGTGCCCTCGTTTCAAAACTTACTATGACTTAAATGTGTACTAAGTAGTGTTCTTTTAAATGTTCATTATTTGAGGGGAAAGTACATCTTAAATACCAGAGCATTGATTTGTTTCCATGGGTCAAGAATTCAGCATCCTGCTCAAGAAACAGAGCGCGACCAGGACCCAGAAGCCCATTCTTGCTCCCGCACCCCCATTGCTCCCCGCCAAGGGTAACGCTCCTGAGTTCTTACACGAGGGATTGGTTCTGCCTGTCCTTGAACTTCGCAATCCTCCAGGCCGTGCTTTTTTGTGTCTAACTTGTTTTGCTCGACGTTATGTTTGTGAGTCAAATGATTTTACTTTTTAAAGAAGGAAAACCTCGTTGGTCTCTAGCAGAGCTAAATCTCTGGGAAATGGAACGGAGGCTTAAGGAGAAATGAGAGAATTGTGAGATCTCAAAGAATCACACAGTTCTAACCAAGCCTCTCTCCAAAACTAAGCAAGTTTAAACTTCTCAATTAAATTTTCATATGCATATTGCCGTGAATGAGAGCCATCACTGTGTTCCATTCTGTGACCCTCCCAGCTGGAAACAAAGAGAGTTTAAGGCAATGGTCTCCTTAGGCACTGAATTAATTGTATGAAAAGCCCAGAAATGTCTCTTTTATATGTGAAGGCTTTAAAATGGTCATAGTAATAAAGACAAAGGAGGTTTAAGGTGCAAAAATCTTACAGGTTGCTAGAGAAGGGTTAAAGCAGAAAGCGAGGAAAACATGTGGAACGTTTTTAATGACCTCGCATTCCTTTACACTGAGCAGAACGACACGGCGCAGTAATGCCTGTTTATCCAGCCTGCAGAGTTTGAACTGGAAGGAGGTTTGGTGTGTGAGAATTTTTTTGTGAACCCTACAAAGATGTATAGGTTCTAAGGTGTTCTAATTAAAAGCATAAATGTTATTTCAAATCTCACATCCAAGTGTAATTAGGTATTTTCTAAATGCTATCATCTAAAAGGGATCCACTTGGCCTCTAATTGTCCTGCAGAATACTTGATTTAAATATTTGTACCGCTCACATACAGACTGCTCAGAAAGTCCCCAAAGTGTCTGGAAACTCCCCGAAGTGCCCCTACCTTTGTTCCAGTAGCATCACAAAGCTAGGTTAGCAGGAGGAGAACAGTCTTGGAAAAATTTTGCTTAAGTGCAAAATAAAATGTTAGCCCATGCTCTGTATTGAACTGTGTCACTTGCTGCCTGCACCATTGCAATGGCTTCCTCTTTGTTCCTCTGCCTCCACATACCTAATGCCAGGTTAGCCTCTATACTGTAACAAGAACAGCTTTTGTTTCTGGAGCGCTAACCAAATGCTAGGCATCGTGCTAGGCAATTTATATGCATTCTTTCACTTAATCCTCACAACAGCTCCTGAGGCAGCTACAACCATTATTGTCACTGTACACTCCGGGAACCTGAGACTCAAAGAGGCTGAGTTCTTTGCCCAAGAACAGTAAGTGTTGGAGTCAGCTCAAACTCAGAGCTCAAACTCAGAGCTGTCGATTCCAAAGCTACGTTCTTAACCACTGTGCCGTACTGCCGTTTGCTCTCATGCTAATGATACTCACGTTCTTTTAGAACATTGCCAAATCTTTTGGAGAGTGGCAAGTTTAGTGTGTAACATTTTGCTCTGGAAGAGTTGATTCACGGCAGATCTTTGATCAGAATGCTCAAACAGGCCTTCTTATTTTACTTTGTGGTTTGTTTGACAGTTGCTTCTTAATTCAGATCTGCTTTAAATCTATTCTTGGAAGGATCTTCTTTTAAATTGTGTTTAATAGATTCTAAGTGATACTCCAGTAAGATGTAAAGCTTCAAAAGAGCTTAACCCAGCAGACGGTCAATGCCAGCCAGGAAAGGCGTCTGGTTTGACGTCTGGACTTAACACCACCTATCCAAGTGCACACACACGCCCAACGGTGGAAGATTTGTGCAAATGTGCGTGACTCCTTGGGTACCTGCAAGTGTGTTTAGAAGTAAATAAATCTTCAAGGAGGGGAATGAAATATTCTTTAAGCCAAATTTACTGTCTTTCCTCCAAATCTGACTTGCCTTCTTGACTTCTGATGTCCTGTGTCCCCACTCACCCAAACCTCAGTGCTTGAGGTGTTTTTGCTCCTTTCTTCCTTGCCCTTCACGTGAAAACAGCACCAAGTCGGGGAGGTTTATCCTTTATAATGTCATTTATATATGCCCGCCTTTTCTATTCCACTGCAAACTTGGTAAATTGGACCCTTATCATCTCATAAATGATCTACAGTAGTCTTCTAACAGATTTCTTTATCTCCACTACCACCCTTCCAAATTCTTGTCCCGTCACAGCCCGATTAACTTTCTTAAAACTCTCTTTTATTGTTTCACTTGTTTAAAAGCCTTCCATGGCTCCCCATTGCCAAATGGATAATGTTCAAACACTTTTCCTTGGCATTCAAGGCCTTCACGTCTGGCCCCAGGTTACCTGGCCAAATTTACCTTCCACAACAATTACACATAAATCTACTCTACCGGACAGTTGCCTGACTACATCTTGTATATTAGATTACTTCCTTGTTTGAGTCATTCTTGGTTTCGAAAATATGTGCAGAGAATACTTTTTATTTCACCACAGTGAAGCTATGATTGAGCTGAATTTTCTGATGAGAGGAATTATTTACATGTTTTGGTACCTTCAAAAAATCATGAAGCTGTGTGTTTTAGACCCTTGTCCTCTCCTGAGTGACAAATTTATCTACAACCCAGGAGTTCTGAGCATCTGACAGGTATTCTGTTGCCTTTGGCCTTTCTTAGAGGTATCCAGTGACTCCAGATAAGTGTTGGGTTTCTCTTTTAACAGAGAAACTGAAAAGCCCAAGTTGGTTTATTTTTCTAGGCTCGTTAGTTGGCATTCTTGCTGTGCCACTCTAAAATAATATTACTTAAACACAAATTGTCTTTTCTAAGCCCCCAAAAAAGTGGGGTAATGGAGTACTGGAAAGAGTGCTGGCTTCAAGTCAGAAGATTTGGGGTTCAACTTAAGGCTGTGTGACTTTGAGCAAATTACCTAAACTCTCTGAACTTCAGTATCTTCATCTATAAAATCGGGATAATAATACATGTTTCCTAAGTATTTGGTGAGAATTAAGTCAGATAGCTTGTGAAAACACTTGGAACATAGAATATTTCATTGATTCTCACATTCACTTTTTTCACTTTTAGTATTTCTGACATGACGATGCATGTTATACTCAATGACATCTTGGCATTCTGTCATAGTTTAATTGATGATGTTTTTTCCTTTCTTAGTGGCACATAAGATAGGGGTCTGTCTTGAAATCCATGTTGCCTTAGATGTGATGAAATATGGTAGTTGATGCTCTCTCCATCAGTGCTGTGCAACACGTGCATCCACTCCATTCTCATCCTGCTACAAAACGCCCCTCCCCGAAGGCTTATGCATATTGTTCATACTTCAGTTTGTTTCTGTGTATCTGTTAACTATGGAACCTCACATCAGTCCTCATCACTGTTAAATAGCTTCTATTGTAAATTTCTAGAAAGCAGAGAGTGTATCACTCTTTTTTGTAAATCAACTTGCATAACTATATAAGGTTCTGTATTTAATAAATATTCACTTATTGAAGCTAATTCCTTTTGAGATGATGTTGAAATCTGGGGTCTTGATAGTATCGCAGTGATTTTGGTAAAAGCTAGGTCAAGGAATGGGTAACTTGTGTTGTTGCACGGGTCTCTTTACCTCATGGTTTCCTGTTGAAAATATTGCTGCTTACCTCCTGGTACCTTCCCTTGTCTCCAAGCCAAGCAGCCTCAGACATCGTGGAAATGCTTGCACAGCCAACAGGCCCTGTTCTGGCGAGGGCAGGGTTTGGCCCTCTTTTCAACTAATCTTTGTCTTCCTTTAGTGTCAACAGCCGTAAGACAGAGGGGAAAACTGTTACTGGTACCAGTACTGAGGGGTGCGGCATACTAAAGAAAAGAGCGAACAGATGCGTGATGCATCCTTTTCCCAGAGTGGACTTCTGTGGACTTTGTCCACAGGCTCTGAGCCAGTTTATCATTCGATCGCTCATTCATTCCCATTTTTACTTTTCTGTGGTGACCTTACAGGTTAAAGATTTCATCAATTCAGAGCTCCTAGCACAGTTATATTCTTCAGAGGACCAAAATACTCTGATGGAGGAATCTGCTGAGCAGGCTCAGCGCCGGGACGAGATGCTTCGAATGTACCAGGCCCTTAAAGAAGCCCTTGTGATCATTGGCGACATCAACACCGCCACTACGTTCACCCCAGCGCCGCCGCCGGTGGACGACTCCTGGATACAGCACTCCCGCAGGTAGGAAGTCAGCCCCTAACCCGAGGCCTGCCAGGCTTGTCCAGGATCATTTCCCGAGCACACTTCCCTAAACCAATATGAATGTAAAGAAAAAAGAGGAAAAACGAGACAAGCTCAGGAGTGAGAGGGTCAGACACCCCAACTCCCTTCAAAAACAAGCATGATACACCCTTCCACTAGAACGTTATATAGCCAGTAAAAAGAGTAAGGTCTTTAAGGCACTGAAAGGATAGTCAAGTTAATGTGAAGCTTAAAAAAAAAGTTGTAGAACGTTGTGTTCTATTATGTACAGAGAAGGAATTGAGAGAGAGAGAGAGAAAATATTGTAGAATATAGTTAAAAGGATGCGCAGGAAGCTATTGGTTGTCTCCACAGAGGGAAGGGGTCAGGGAGGGAAACTTCGTTTTCATCACATCCTTTTGTACTTTTTAACATTTGAAACATGTATCTGAGTTACCCAGTCAAAAAATAATTTTTTAAAAAGCAGTCAGGAAGTCATGAAATCTTTCTGGAAGGATGACCTCAACAGGAAGGAGGAGTGGGCAACCTGCTGTCGTCTCTTCCTCAGGTCGCCCCCTCCCAGCCCCACCACCCAGCGGAGGCCGACGCTCAGCGCCCCGCTCGCTCGGCCCACGGCCGGCCGAGGGCCCGCGCCCGCCATCCCCTCCCCGGGGCCCCACTCGGGGGCGCCCCCAGTCCCCTTCCGGCCCGGCCCGTTGCCTCCTTTCCCCAGCGCCAGCGACGCGCTCGGAGCGCCGCCGCAGGTCCCGTCCCGGCCCACGCGGGCCCCGCCCAGCGTCCCCAGGTGAGTGGTCTGCGCGCCGCGGACACGCGGGATGCTCTTCGGTTCTCTTCTCAGAGCATGGCAGACAAAATTTATTTGAAAAAGAAAATTGCAAACATATTCTCCTACACGTTTGCAGTTTTCACCCAGGAGGGTGATCGTGGGGGAATTGCTGAGCCTGCTGCACCATTTAAAAACCAATACGTGGTCTAAGCCTCTCCTTTATCAACTTGGCACAAACTAAATGGGACCAAAGAAAACTGGCTCCAAATGAATGATAATTTGGCAGCTGTTTGTAGAATGTGACAGAGAGCTTTGAAAGGAAAGAGCCGTGGCTGGGCTGTTGCAAGCTGTGTGTTCCCTAGGTCAGGAGAGAATCACCAGCTGAGGCCTCACTTTGTCCATTACCAGAGGAGTTCTAGAAAACCACGGACTTCAAGGAATGTTATCCATCTGCCCTCTGAACTATGACCCTTAAACCCAATATTTTAACTTTAATGTAGGCTGAGGAAAAATCTGACTGATTAATCTGCAATTGCTTTTGTAAAAACCATGCATAGAAATTTTAACATAGCCATCATGATTGCTGTGTGCAGTCACTAAACATGAATGAGACAGAACACTGTACGTTGGAAGAATACATTTTGGCATTTGTAAGCAGATTTTCAGGCTTAACTGTGAAATGAAATAGCTAATAAATAAGTGGAACTTGAAACCCATATAGTTGAAGGTGTAGTCTCACCTTCATACATTTGCAGTCAAAATATGTACAATGTGTATGATTAGAGATTTTGAAAATAGAAGGAGTTAGGAGTTTTTCCTCAACATCAGAAATTTTAAAAAGAAAGAAGATTAGCCCATTCAGAAAGCTAATTTTTAAAAAATTCAATTCAGAGGGTTAAAATATTTGTATACTCTGTGAAGGAAAACCTTACTATATACGTGAACCATAAAAAGAGAAGCAACTTCTGCCCCCCATGAGGCCTGAGTCCCCTCAGCCTCTGATCGCAGAGCTTACATTGATGTTGATCTTCAGGCTGTCGGGTGTAATGAAGAGAAGAAGGGGCATCTTAGACTTGTAAGCAAGGGATGTAGTAGGAATAGCGGGGATGTGGAATTAGAAGATCTGGTTTGCCACAGACCTTGGGCAACTCAGTTAACTCTGAGCCAGGAGTTCCTCATCTGTGAAACAGGGACAAATTCAGCAAGGCCATTGCCCAAATCATTAGAGATGAGGTATTTGAGAGAATCTGATAAACTGTAAAGCACTGTGGTTGTTGCTGTTATCATCATTTTGGTCCTAATCAAACAGGACATATGTACTTTCAAATCTATTTTTTCTATATTTTCTAAAGAAATCTATATTTTTTCTCTAAACTCAGTAGGTTTGGCTTATCATTTAGTTGTAACTAAATTTGAGCTAAATTTCTAGTAATAATAGTAAAAACAGAAGCTCATATTTATTGTGCTTTCTGTGTACCTGAGGCACTGTCCTAAGGGCTTTGCAGGTACATTTTTGTTTAATACTCACTACAACCCAATAGGATAGGATATCATCTGTTTTACAGAGGAGGCCCAGAGGTTAAGCAACTTGCCCAAGGCTGCTCGACTAGGCCCTAATGGGGCTGGACTTTGATCTCAAGCAGCCTGACTAGAGAGCCCCGCCTCCCAGCCACAATACCATGGTTTCTCAACCTCGGCGCTATTGACATTTTTGTTGTGGGGGACTGTCCTGTGCATTTTAGGATGTTTGCCAGCATCCTGGCCTCTACGTACTGGATGTCAGTTGCAATCCCCCAGTCATGACCACTAAAAATGTCTCTAGACATTGCCAGTGTTGGGGGGAAGGCGTAAAACCCCCCTCCCCTTGAGAACCATGGCACCACAGTAGAAAAAAGACTTTTCCTTCCGTGTAAAAAAATATAAGTATTGGCATTGAGCCTCACTACAAGCAAGAGTAAATTATTGTTTTAGGAGACCTCAGATTGACTGGAAAAGTGTCTGCCGTTGTGCCTGGAAGGTATGGAGGCCACTGAGGGAGGGGTGTTGGGAGTGGGAAGGCGGGAGTCCCATCCAGGAGTCTTGAAGTTGGCTATTTTGTCTGTTTAGCTCTAAGAAGGAACCAGAGTAACTTGGTGGTGCCTGTCCTCGGGAATGAACATGCATGTCTTGCCTGCTCGCTTGGCTGCTTTACCTCTTGGTTTCAGATAAGCTGGCTTGCCAGTCCCCTTCAGAGAAATCAACTGTTGAATGATAAACTGGTTTGTTAAGCGGGGTGGAGTCGCCCTGGGTATCTGCCAGCAGGCGCATAGAAGGTAGCCGGGCAGGAATCGGTAGCCCACACTGGACAAGGGGAGCCACCAGGTGTAATGCGCCTGCACTTTATAAGACAACAGTTGTGTTCTTCAAAATTTCTAGAATATTCTCAAGGTCCAGACCCAGACTTAACTTGATCTAGCCTTGCAAAGAGTCTCAAATGTAAAACAGAAATGAGAAATCAGAGTAAAAGAGTAAAGTTGGTTGTTTTGTGCTGAGCCTTCAAGTTTCAGGGCCAGTTCAGCACACTGGGAGGGAAATCCCTCTGGGGGGAGGGGGTGTCACCTGAGAGAGAGCAAGAAAGACTCTGTCAGGATCCTTATGCCTATTAAAGTTTAGCTTTAGATGGAGAATTCTGACCACATAAAGTCTGTTTTCAATAAAAGCCAGAGCAGGAATCCTACCAAATGCAAGCCAGAAATGAATGGGGTTTAAGATTTCAAAAAAAAGAAAGAAAGAGAAAAAGAGAGAGAGACAAAAAAGAAAGGAAGGAAGAAAGAGTTGAGAGCAGCTCTTACTGAAACTTCACCTTGTTCTATTTATTTATATATTCTCTTTCCCTCCATGATTTGCCTACATTTTCTCTATTAAGAACTAAAAAAAGTTGAAATGCCATTATCCATCATCTCCAGGAAAACAACTCTTAGCTTTCTGAGAAGGAAGTTTGATTTTTCTTTTTTTTTCAGTTCTTTGCTTGCTTAAGGGCCCTTTCTCCTCTTTTATCTGAAACCAGAAACTCATAACGTGACAAGACAGCCCAAGCAATGTCCTGCCGGCTCCCTGTTGGGCTTTAGTATTACAAAGGCAATAACTGAACTTTTAGACGCAAAGATTCTGCCATTCGGCCTGTGCCTGCGTGTAGTTTTCTTCTAGATAATTCGCAACTTCATTAGCAGGTTAACGATTTTGACTTTTCAGAGCACATATACTTTTATTTTGACCCTATTAAAATGTAACGCAAGCACACTCGCAATTATACAGAAACCATGAGTGTTCTGCTTTTTTAAAAAAATTATTATATCTTTCCATTCCAATGTAAAGGAAGAGGAAGGAGAGAGGCTGGTGGAGTCATTTTTGGCCGAGCTTCTCTCAGCTGCTCAAGCTGTTCTGGTTTATGTGCAAAAAGCCTTTCAGAGAGGGAGCTGGAAATAGTGCAAACTGCATGCCTGTTTTAATTAATTCCACCTGAACTAGGGGAGCATCTCTATCCCAAAGAGACTCACCAGTAGGGATGCTTCTGTCATTAGTAAGCTGAGTGTACACAAGTCTGATCTGTGGAAGATTTTCTGTTGCCAGAATATTTGGATTGCCCCCTCCCCTGTCACCCCCAGTCAGCTTCTCTGAAGGGGCTAAAACCCAGTTTGAAATCCCAGGCAGTTGTGGCCTTGTTTAGCAAGATGATCTTAAACAGACATCACCACCTCTTTAGGGGCCCTATTCTCTTACTTGGAGATCCTAATCTTCATCAAACACTAATTTTAGGCCTGATGTAGCTATTTTTGGTTATAGCTTCTTAAAATTAGTTAATTGGGAATCACAGCCTTTGACATTAACAGAACAAATTAACTGAATCAGAGTGTGTTTTTCCTGGCAACAGCCGACTCTGGCATTATTTTACTCATTTGTCTTCTCCCCTTCCCTTGGACTAAGCTATTTTGCAACGGTCAAAAGGGGATAAGGGTGGGAGGAAGGGTCTCTATCCAAGGAAAAGCAAACTTCATTTACCTCATCACTCAGTCTTCTATTTAAAAAAATGTTGAAAAATAGCAATACTTTCTTTTAACCACCCTTGTCACCAAGTCGGATGGTGTCTTTTAAAAATGGCAAGAGTGAATCATAGGAAAGGATTTGGCTTTTACTCCAGCTCATCCACATGACAGAAACACAACATGGAAACCAAGAAATGCTCCACTGAAGGAGACTCTGCTGAGCCCCATGGTGAAGTGATGTCTGCACCGCAGGGCCCGTCCGTGGGTAGCATCAAGATTCTCCCAGGGCAGCCCACTTATGCCTGTTCCGTGACTTAGGCAGTTTCCCTGACTTTACATGGCCTGCCTCAAGAGTCTCTTCACAGTCCCACATTCTCAGCAATTCACTGCTAAATCCACCATTTCAAAAGATACATGAATCCCTCAACATAAAGAGAGAATCAATGCACTCATGTTGGTTTCTTTACAGAGGTAAAAGCCATTTGATTCTCTACAATTTAGTTTAATCTGGTTTTAAACATTTGACCTTGATGCCCTGCTGTGCTCTGTCTTTTTTACAAATTTTATATGTTGATTTAATTGACAGTTAACATAGAATCCCTTTCACTTAGGGATATGGTCTCCTTGTTTTGTTTTGTTTTTTTCAGCCAGTCCCCCAAATTTTGAGTAAGGAGAAACCCACAATTCTTATGAGTATGTCTTTGCATCCCTAACATCAAGGTTTGGTGCCATGAAGGATGAAGCTGCCGAGCCTTGAAGTCGTGGGCTCAGGGTACACGGACAATTAAGCGACTTATGTGACTAGCCTGAGTCTGATTTCCCCTGCAATCATGTATTGGAAACATCCCGGCTTCCTCCTTCCTCAACAGCCCTCTAAAAGTACTTTCTTTTAGCAGCTGAGTGTCATGTGGACAAATGAATTTGTCTTGTGATTTCTGATTTCAGCCATGTGCTTTCTGTTTTCCTCACCATCCTTCCCCTTTAAAGAACAAATAA